GGTGAAGATTGAGAATGATAGGTTGAGAAACACTTAAACAATATACTTTTTATATGTAGTTTCATCAAATGTGAACACAGACTCAAGAAGGCCATGCTCATTTCTGTATCCCTGGCACGTAGAATGGTGCTTGGCAAATAATAGGGACTTGATAAAGAGTGGTCCAATGAAGGGAAGGGGCACTGGGTACTCCAGAGACTGTAAGGAAATCTGGTGGGTATGTGACACTGCCCTGCATTTCAATATAGCTTGGATTTTCAAATAACAAATAAATTTTGCATCACAAAATTTGTAAATTTTTATTTCCTACTTTAGCCAATCTACATAGAGGATTCAAGAAGAGTCAACAAGAAGACATCTGATTGCAAAGTCTAATATACAGTGTAACCAACCTGTCAAAAGAACGTGCAAAAGATGACTTATTTATATGGAGATCCCTTGTCAGGTGCCAAAGAACTGCAAACTTTGCATGTGCTTCCATCCTTATTTTCTGAGGAGGAATGTGGAAGAGTAAACTATTTAATTCTCACTTGAAGATATCTAGTGATTCTAGTAAAACCAAATCAACAACTTAGGACTATTATGGTTAATGCCCACAATTCAAGGGCACACTGTAATACACTTTTATTACATTTTTTTCTGTCTTTTCTTTTTTGGTGCTGAGGATCAAACCCAGGACCTCACACATGCTAGGCAAGTGTTCTACCACTGAGCTACATCCCAGCCCCTTTTATCACATTGTTTAATGAAAGTAGAAATAGAAAATACTGCTTCTGTAAAAACAGAAAACATTATCTCACAAACTATTACTTGGTTAAGATTTTATACTAGATCATTGCATGACAGAGAATAGAAGAAACTATTATGTCATGACATCTTGTATATACAAAGCACAATTTTTCCCTCATTTTTCAAAATTAATGTACTCTTCCTCCCCAAAATTATACCTTAATCTCAACTGAAGTTCTACAAGAAAAATATTAAACCACTTTTGGAATTATTCAGAAAAAGATTAGGAGTTAAAATAATGGACAGAACAATGTAGAATACATTATTTGGTATTAGATAAGGAACATATATGTAATATAAAACCAGTAAAAATTATGGCTTATTTAAAATTTTATTTCTGAACAACTTTGAATATGGTGAAGCAGAAATAGAATTGTAACATTTTCCTTGGAATAAACACTTTATTACTCTCATTTACTCCTTCATGTTTCTCTTTGCTAAAATCTTCACTTACTCAACACAATGCCTTTTTAAATATGAACCATGCAAAATCACTAGCATTGGGTTTTAATACACATCCAAAATCTCCTCAATAAAATTAAATTTATATTGCAGAGCAGCATAGGAAGACAATAAACTTCATTAAATTACCTGAAGTTGCCAATCAAAATGATTCCCCCTACCCTGGCCCATCCAACAGGAGACAACATAATTGATTTATGTATTATTTCATATACATTAGGATACATAATTCTTACTCTGGATATTAAAATACAAACACAATAATCTCACATATTAGTATACAAATAACTTATGTATAACTTATAAATGTACTTTACACATGACTTCATTTATATACATTAGTAAAGGTATCTATCAGGCCTATAACTGAATCCAACGTTCTTCTTTAAATGATACAAGAATTTATACCAACAAAAACTTTAATCACCACTGCCCATACTGGTGTCTTGAACTAAGAAATAAATCAGATACTAACTATAATACAGAATTCCCTTAATTTACCTTTTAGAATAGTGTATATGTTAATCTGTATTTGTGTGTGTATATATGTAGGTATGTACACAATAAGAAGAGAAGGATTTACCTTATCTTTATGGGTTAGCTGATGACTTATAACATCCTCACAGATGCTAGAAGAAGGAACCAAGTTATGTAATTGATAAAACAGTTCCACACTCTTCTGGTGGTGCTGAGGTGTCCCATCTCCTAGTTGGTCCCATAAGATCAAAGCTACATGCTATAGAAAATGATGCAAAGGGGACTGTGTTACAAAACCATTAACAGAAATTATTTAACAAACATTTCTTATTAGGTACAAACTACTACCTGATCTCTGACTGCCAGACCCAGAAGTTCTTTAATATGCACGGTACCATTGGGATGAGAATTAAAAGTAAAGCAGTCCATCAATCATATATGGGCTTCACACACATATATGAAATAGAACAATGAAGCTTCTAGCAATTGTTTTAAGAGGGTGGGTAGGGCTTAGGGGGGCTGGTGGGGGCAATCTAACCAATGTACAATGTAATGCTATTCAGAATTGTCACAATGGATCCCCCTTGTACAATGACTATATCCTAATAAAAATGGTGGAGGGGGGAAGTAAAGCCTTCCACCTGCTTACTTTCTGGTCACCTAGATCCTTAGAACCTTTTATGACAGTCCTTTTCTTTTAAACATCAGAAATGCAATAGTCACTTTCTGGAGGGCACAGATAAGATCTCATATCACTATTTTAGTGATATTTAGTAAAGTAATACTAGAATACATTTTTAATAGGACACAAATCTCATGTTAAATTCAATTTCATTTTTTATGATCATATGTTATATAGTAAAATAAAACTCAGAGTCCAAATATCCAAATTACTTAAGACTTTCTTTTCCCTTTTTGAACTCAGGACCTCTGTGTGCTAGGCAAGTACTCTAGCTGTAGCACTTAGCTACACCTCCAGCCCAATGAGTTTAAAGTAACTCATATGTGTCACACATGTGTTATCATGGCAATTGATATATAACAACATTAATAAGAATGCAAAAATCTTTAGAGTTCACAGAATGTTATAGGAATCAGCTCCAATGTAGCAGGGGGAAATTTCTGGAGGGTCACTATGACTTGAAATCAGATTTTTAAAACTTCTTTTGCAGCACTGGGGATAAAACCCAGGATCTTCCGCATGCCAGGTAAGTGTTTTACCCCTAAGCTGTATCCCCAGCCTTTGACTGTTTGAGATAGGATCTTACTATGTAGCTCAGGCTGGCCTTTGAACTTATGATCTTTCTGTCTCCACTTCCAAGTGCTGGGATTACAGGTGTGTGCCACCATGCCTGACTAAAAAATGAAACCAAACAAAACCTTTATATGTAAAAAGAACCTACCTGTTTAAGAAGTAATATAACCCAAATGTACCTGATGTTCTGTGTAGAAGATATCTATCCCACTGTGCTTTATTTTTCTGAATTACATACAACACAGATAATAATCAGACAATATAGAGTGTCAAAAAACTTTTCATGGGAGTTCTGAATAGATGAGATTTTACTCTATGAAAAGAAAAGTGTCATAGCCACATAATCTGGAAATAATCTACGGTATTAATGAACTTTCCTCTTTTTTAGTTGAAATTATTCCTCCATGGCTTCAGTGATCTATGTCAAGTAGCACACATGCAGTGATTATCTTAATCACATACAATCTGTATTTGTTAGACTTTACCTTGAAAAATTCAGTCTTCTCAACTATGTACCTCAGATTGCCCTGGGTGAGGGGTGGTCTAATAACCACAGCTACTCTTCCCTGGTTTGGACTTAAGGGCTGTGCAGGCTCCATGCTGTTGATGTTTTCTCCAGTGACCATGGCCACAGACTGAGTCAGTCCCACCAGGTCCATGACTAGTGAAATAGCAACACTTTGAACACTGAAATCATCTGCTTGGTTGCAAGCATTCATCAGAGTTTGCAGCCACTGTGGAGGCTGTACATGCTCACAGTCTGAAACAAAAAAAAGGGAAGCAATCAGAGTTCACCACTATTAATTATTTCACACATACTTTTAAGCCAGTTTCAAATACACAAAGCAACTACTTCATCTTGATCTGTTAACAAAACCTAGTTACTCGCTTAGTTTATAGCTTTTAGAAAAATATAGCAGTAAGAATTTCATAACCTTTTTTTCAATATACATTCTTCTCATGCCAAGTAATATAATCTACTTTCCTGTCCTGAAAGCAGTTTTTTTAAATAAAAAATTACCTAGTATTCATGGTACTCTGTGTGTATAAAAAAATTTAAATAAAAGCAAATACAAATAATGCTGTCATAAGAAAGGAAACTAGTGGAACTAATGTTACATTACATTTCTCCAGAGATTTCCTTTTTTGTTTCTACTCACCTGCAAGCAAACTGTGAAAGCCACCAAAATCACAAAAATCTTCAAAAGCAGCAATTTCCCCATAATGACTGTATTTCACTTAAATTTTTTTTAAAAAAATTAACTGGCTAAAAATCCTAACTTTAATATCTAAGAACATCTTTAAAAATAGCATGCTAAATAAAATATTGGAATATAAATTAAACAGAGATGACCTTACCAGTCTCTAATTTTTCAGAACATAACTCTGATGTATGGTTCCCCTCAGCAATGTAAACTGGAAAACTTGAGCACTCTAAAAAGAGCTGACAGGCAGCAAGGAAGGCAGAAAGGTATTCTTTTGTAGTTTTTTGTTTACTTAGATTTCTCTCTTTTATATCTCCTTGTGAATCCCTATCCCATTTTGAAGTCTCTCCCTGATGGTCTGAAGCCAAAGAAGAGTTACTCTGAATGACGTAGAGACTGATGAGTCTGGTAAGAAATTGTTGGACATACTCCAGGCAGCACTGCATTGCAGTCTTTTGGGCTGTCTTCCCACTTCGGGTTGCTGTCCCCTGAGTGACTATGGACGGGGGCTGGATGATGGTTTCTTCAGATCCCACAGTGGATGCTGTTTCTGTCTCAGAGGACGTGCTACCAATTGGGATAGTAGCGGCCCCCTGACCTTCACTTAGTTCTCTGTCAATGTCATCAGTTCCATCTGCCTGATACTGTATAAATTCAGTGAAGCCACTTTCTGATGATCGACTACTTGGTGGGTTTTCTCCATCTTCGAACACTTCAATAGGGTTTTCCAGAGAAACTGATGGTACCTGGTAGAGATTTTTTAAAAAGCAAAAGGCTCATGAAAATGTCACAGGGAAACTCCCTGCGTAGCCACCTTAAACAAACAAAAATGTCATTTTTTTCCCTTTTACAAATCGGAGAATAGGAGGGTGGAACAGGGCCCATCTGGGGGGTTGGCATCAGTGTGTGGGGGGAGGTGGTGGTGAAAGGGTGTAGGAAAGTGAATATAGTGCAAATACGGTGTATACATAAATGTAAATGGAAAGATATCTCTTGAAACTATTCCAGGAATGGGGGGAGAGGGGATGAAGGAGAATGGTGGAGGGAGTGAATTCAAATATGATACATTGTAGGAACTTTTATAAATGCCACAATGTATCCCATCCCAGCACAACAATAAAAAATATTTTAAAAAACAAAGAGAAAAAAGCAAAAGACTCTGTTGGTATATATATATATATACACACACAAACAACAGAAATGGCCACTGTCTGAGAGAAGTTTTACATTAGATTATGTATAGCTTAACTCACATTCTGTTGAATCCTAAAGTAGTCCCTACACTGACTCATATTTATGATAATCAGTAGTACACACTGATATGGCTCTAATGAATACATTAGTATATATCCATTCACCAAGTATTTATTATGCATATCATAAGGTTAGGTTAAGATAAAAACAGACACACTCACACATATATAAATCTTTAAGATCTGTATCCTTATTTTCAAATGAGTAATAATTTGTTTAATCAAATTCATGAAATTATTTTACTAATGTCAAAACTATGCAAAGAATGAGATAGTAAGGTTAAAAATGACATTTTAAAAATTAGAAATAAAATTTAACAAGTTATCTTCTCAGGACCACATGAATGTGAACTTTTGTCAACATGTGTAAAGTATCAATTAAATGTCTTTTTAAAATCCTACATGCTTTCAGTAAATACTGAACCATATTATGGCAGATCCTGCATTAGGCAGTAAGAATAAAAGAAATAGTTTATAACCTAGAGGGGAAGAGGTAATTATAATAATAAACAAACAAATGAACCAGTTCTTGAAGCAGAGTTAGAATTATTAACTTTTGAATTGTTAAAAAGGAGAGGCTAAGTATAATAATAAAGCATATTATCTGATTAAGTTTAAATAAACAAGTTGGTGCATATCATGAACTCCTTGGGCTACTGTGCCAGAGTATAATTTATTTATTTTTCTTTATTCATTTATTCATATGTGTATACATTATTAGGGCCATTTCTCCCCCCTGCTCCTTCCCCCCTCCCCCACCCATCGCTTCCACACAGAACCTGTTCTGCCCTTTTCTCCAATTTTGTTGAAGAGTAGACATAAGCAATAATAAGAAAGACAAAGCGTTTTTGCTAGTTTAGATAAGGATAGCTATACAGAGAGATTCCTAGCATTGCTTCTATGCACAAGTGTATTAAAACCCAAATTGATTCATCTATACCTGACCTCTTCACTACCCTTATTGACCTCTGTCTTTTTAAGGTTACTATATTAACTCCACTGCAGTGGGATGTCAAGTGCTTTCAAGTTTTCAGTTTCCTACCTATTCCCATTACTCCCATATGTGCTCTCCCCTTAGTGTGTGACCCAAGTCCAACAACATTACTGCATTTGCCCTAGATCTAAAGTCTGAATATGACGGAGAACATACAATTTTTGGTCTTTTGAGCCTGGCTAACCTCGCTCAAGGTGTTCTCCAGTTCCATCCATTTACTTGAGAATGATAAGATTTCATTCTTCCTCATGGCTGAACAAAATTCCATTGAGTATAAATACCACATTTTCTTGTTACATTGTCGTAGTGGGGGATCTTGGCTGTTTCCATAACTTGGTTATTGTGAATAGTGCCGCAATAAACATGGGTGTGCAAGTGCCTCTGTAGTAACCTGAGTCGCATTCCTTTGGGTATATCCCTAGGAGTAAGCTTGCTGGATCATATAGCAGATCTATGTTTAGATTTTTAAGAAGCCTCCATATTTTTTTCCAGAGTGGTTGCACTAGCTTGCATTCCCACCAGCAGTGTATGAGGGTTCCTTTTTCTCCTCATCCTCGACAACACCTGTTTGTTGGTGGTGTTTTGGATTATGGCTATTCTAACAGGGGTGAGGTGGAATCTTAGTGTGGTTTTATTTGCATTTCCTTTACAGCCAGAGATGGTGAGCATTTTTTCATGTGTTTTTTGGCCATTTGGATTTCTTCTTTTGAAAAAGTTCTGTTTAGTTCAGTTGCCCATTTCTTAATTGGTTCATTGATTTTGGGACAGTTTAGTTTTCTGAGCTCCCTGTACGTTCTGGTTGTCAGTCCTTTGTCTGATGTATACCTGGCAAATATTTTCTCCCACTCTGAGGGTAGTCTCTTCAGTTTAGAGACCATATCTTTTGTTGTGCAGAGGCTTTTTAATTTTATGTAGTCCCATTTGTCCATCCTTTCTCTTAGTTGCTGAGCTGCTGGGGTTCTATTGAGGAAGTCCTTGCCTATACCTATTATTTCCAGAGTATTCCCTGCTCTTTCCTGTACTAACTTCAGAGTTTGGGGTCTGATATTAAGGTCCTTGATCCATTTTGAGTTGGTACTTGTACAGGGTGATAGACATGGATCTAGTTTCAGTTTTTTGCAGGCAGATAACCACTTTTCCCAGCAGTTTTTGTTGAAGAGGCTGTCTTTTCTCCATCTTATAGTTTTGGTGCCTTTGTCAAAAAAAAGGTGGGCATAGCTGCGAGGAGTCATATCTGGGTCCTCTATTCTGTTCCACTGGTCTTCATGTCTGTTTTTGTGCCAGTACCATGCTGTTTTTATTGCTATTGCTTTGTAATATAGTTTGAAGTTGGGTATTGTTACATCTCCAGCATTGCTCTTTTTGCTGAGTATTGCCTTGGCTACTCGGGGTCTCTTGTGTTTCCAAATGAACTTTAGAGTGGGATTTTTCAATCTCTGTGATGAATGTCATTGGAATTTTGATGGGAATTACATTAAACATGTAGATTGCTTTCAGTAGTATAGCCGTATTTTCTATGTTCATTCTACCAACCTATGAACACGGGAGATCTTTCTATCTTCTGCAGTCTTCCTCAATCTCTTTCTTCAGGGGTTTGTAGTCATTCACATCCTTTGTTAAGTTTATTCCTAGGTATTTGATTTTTTTGAGGCTATTGTAAATGGAATTGTTTCCATATATTCTCAGTTTGTTCATTGTTGGTGTATAGAAAACTAATGATTTTTATAAGTTGATTTAGTATCCTGCTACCTTGCTGTAGCTGTTTATAGTGTCTAGGAGTTTTTGGGTAGAGTTTTTGGGTCTTTAAGATATAAGATCATATTGTCTGCAAATAAGGATATTTTGACATTTCTTTACCTATTTGTATTCCCTTTATTTCTTCTTCTTGCCTAATTGCTCTGGCTAGGAATTCCAGGATGATGTTGAATAGGAGTGGGGATAGTGGGCACCCTTTTCTCATTCCTGATTTTAGGGGAAATGGTTTTAATTTTCTCAATCAAGTATGATGTTGGCTATAGATTTGTCATATATAGCCTTTACAATGTTGAGGTACATTCCTTCTATTCCTAGTTTACTCAGAGCTTTTATCATGAAGTGGTGTTGGATCTTGTCGAAGGCTTTTCTGTATCTATTTGAGATGATCAAGTGGTTTTTGTCTTTGCTTCTATTAATGTGCTGTATTACATTTATAGATTGGCATATGTTGAACCACCCCTGCATCCCTGGGATGAAGCTAACTTGGTCGTGGTGAATGATCTTTCTGATATACTGTTGGATTTGGTTTGCCATTATTTTATTGAGGATTTTTGCATTGATGTTCATTAAGGAGACTGGCCAATAGTTCTCCTTTTTGGAGGTGCCTTTGTCTGATTTTGGGATGAGTGTAATACTGGCTTCATAGAATGAGTTAGGCAGAGTTCCTTCCCTTTCTATTTCATGGAACAGCTTAAGGAGAGTTGGCATTAGTTCTTCTTTAAAGGACTGACAGAATTCAGCAAAGAATCCATCAGGTCCTGGACTTTTCTTTTTTGGGAGATTCTTTATTGTGCCTCAATTTCATTTTGTGTTATAGATCTATTCAGGTGATTAATATCCTCTTGGTTCAATTATGGATGGTCATAAGTATCTAGAAATCTGTCCATTTCTTCAAGATTTTCAAATTTATTGGAATATAGGTTCTCAAAGTAGTCTCTGATGATTCCCTGGATTTCCATGGTGTTTGTTGTTATCTCCCTTTTTGTATTTCTGATTTTACTGATTTGGGTTTTTTCCTCTCATTTTACTCAGATTTGTCAGGGGTCTGTCAATCTTGTTTATTTTTTCAAAGAACCAGCTTTTTGTTTCATTGATTCTTTGTATTTTGTTTGTTTCTATTAAATTAATTTTGGCCCTTATTTTTAATTCTTGATTTTCTTGGAGTTTGCGGTGTAGTATTAGGTCATTGATTTGAGATCTTTCTGTCCTTTAATATATGCATTCATGGCTATAAACTTTCCTCTTAGTACTGCCTTTGCTGTGTCCCATAGGTTCTAGTAGGTCATGTTTTCATTTTCATTAACTTACAATAATCTTTTAATTTCCTCTTTTATTTCATCAGTGACCCACTGATCATTGAGCAATGTGTTGTTCAGCTTCCAATTGTTTGCATATTTTCTCCTTTGTTTTTGTTGTTATGTTCTTGTTTTAATGCACTGTGATCAGATAGAATGCATGGGATTATTTCTATATTCTTATATTTGCTGAGGCATGCTTTGTGCCCTAAGATATGATCAATTTTGGAGAAATCTCCATGGGCTGCTGAGAAGAATGTATATTATGTGGAAGTTGGATTAAATATTCTGTAGAGATCAGCTAGGTCCATTTGATCTATGGTGTGGTTTAGTCCTAGAATTTCTTTGATTTTTTGGTTTGGATGACCTATCTATTGGTGAAAGGGGGTTATTAAAGTCTCCCACCACTGTGTTTGGAGTCTATATATGCTTTTAGGTCCTTCAGAGTATGTTTGATGAAATTGGGAGCACTGACGTTGTGTGCATATAGGTTGATAATTGTTATTTCCTTTTGTTCTATTTCTTCTTTTATTAGTATGGAGTGTCCTTCTTTATCTCATTTGATCAATATAATTTGAAGTCCACTTTGTCCAAGATAAGTATTGCTACTCCTGCCTGTTTTCATGGCATTTGCTTGGTAAATCTTCTTCCAGCCTTTCCCCCTAAGCCAGTGTTTTGTTTCTGTCAATGAGATGGGTCTCCTGTAAACAAACAGATTGTTGCATCTTACTTTTTAATCCAGTTCGCCAAACGGTGTCGTTTTGATGGGGGAGTTAAGCCATTAACAATTCAGTTGTTTATAGGTAATGTGGTATTCCCTGTCATTTAGTTTGTTTTTTGTTGTTTAAGGGTTTTTGTGTTGCACCGAATCAATGTTTACTCTCTACTTGCTTGCCTTTCTTCTCCTTTGGGTTTGAATACTGCCATGTCCTCTCATGGTTTGTTTGCTTTCATTTTCTGGAGTGCAAGAATTCCTTGGAGAATCCTTTTGTAGTCATGGCTTGGTGGTCATATATTGTTTTAGTTTCTGTTCATCGTGGAAGACTTTTATTGCTCCACAGAGTATAATTTAAATAGGATCATAAAAACTGATATTTTTTATATATGAATAAGATCATCACAATTGGTATTATTAATATATGAGCTAAATATCTGAAAAAGTATTGGACTTCAGTGTTCCTTGTTTCAGTGACTGATACCACCATTCATCAATACCAGGAAGACAGAAACCTATGGGTCATTCTTGGGTACTTTTTCCATTTCTCCTTCCTTTCCCACTGGCTTTCCAACCATATCAGTATAGTGGCTGAGGGTGTAAGTCCCAACTCAACTAGGTCTCTGCACTCACTAGGTATGTGTTGCTTAGGAAGCTATATAAATTCTTTAAACCTCCTCATGTGTATATAGTAATTCCCCCTTATCCATGGGAGATATGTCCCAAGACCCCATTGATGCCTGACACTGTGGCTAGTACTGAACCTTAGTTATACTATGATTTTTCCTATACATACATATCTATGATAAAAGTGTAATTTATAAGTTATGTACAATAAGAGATTAATAACAACTTATCATTAATAGAATAACAATAAAAAGTTATGTGAATATCATCCCTCTCTCAAAATATTCTATTGCACCATATTTATCCTTTTTGTGATAATGTGACATGATTCAATACATATGAGAAGTGAGATGAATGATGTAGGCATTGTGTTACAGTATTATCTGCTACATGTGAATGCAAGCACAGTGATATTGTCTATTTGATAACTAAGCCAGCTACTAAATGACTAACAAGTAGATATTTATACAGTGTGGATATACTGGACAAAGGGATGATTCATGTCCTTGGACAGGACAGAACAAGATGGTGTGAGATTTCATCATGCTACTCAGAATGTCACACAATTTAAAACTCATGAATTATTTCTGTAATTTTCTAATTAACATACTAGGACCATTATTGAACATGGGTAACTAAAACCATGGAAAGGTTTCAGTGGATGAGGAGGAGCACTGTAACTGAAATTTAACTAATTGCTACATTTTACAGTTTATGTAAGGATTAAGGAATAGTGTCTCTGAAGCACCTGGCACTTAGTAAACATTCAGTGATTGTTAGTGATTACTCCTTATTCTCGCCAACCTATTGCTAATGTCCTTTTGATTTGTTTTCCTAAATATTGCTAACCCATCCATTTCTCTTTTTTCACTCCCACATATTGACAACATAAGTTACCACCACCTCTCACCCGCACTATTGTAGGTCTCCCCACATCCATTTTTGTTTCTCAGATCCATACTCCACACTGCAGTCAGAGTAATTTTTCTAATACACAAATCTGATTATGCCTCCTGCCTTTTTCCCCTTCAGTGTCTTCCCATTGCTCCTAAGATAAAGAATAAAAGCCTCAGTATAGTGAACAAGGCTCTGTAAGTCCTGGCCCTTGCCTACCTCACACCTGCATTGCTCATCTGCATAGTGCTACTGAGCCTCAGAAGAGCCTTTCTTTGCGAATGTTAATTTCTACCATGAACTCTCTTCTTTCTACTTTGCCCTACCCCATCAATTCCTCTAAAGCTTCACCCAAACATTCCCACCTCAAGAAAGCCTTCTTGACTGCCAGCCTAGGTCAGGTCATACCTTTCCACAGTCCTACCTCTATATACTTTCCTTCATATATTAATCACAACTATCACTAAATGTGCAATCACTTATTTAATGTGTGTCTTCTAATAGAAGACATTAAGAAGTGCAGAGACAGCCTAGTTCACTACTGGATAGCCAGTGCCTAACAGTGTTGAATGAAGACAGATTGTTTTTCTATTCCAAAGGCAAGAAAACTGAAGTTCAGGGAGGTTAAAAACAAAAATAAAAACACCTGACCAAGGTTACAGCAGCTAAGATTAACAGTTAGTAGAAGGACTCGGTGAGGAGATTTTACATTTCATATTCTACTATATTTATGATGGTAGGAGAGCTTTCCATATTAGAATGCCAAAATTTAGAGGTAACTGTCAGAATGAACTTATTTGCCTATTTGTCTCCTTTGAAAGTTTAGTGACTACCTAAAATCATGTACATTCTTAAAAAGAATACTATAAAATTGTTTTTGTATTAATTTCTTTTAACAAAAGGATCATATAACAATGGATGATATTAAATTAATAGAATTCAAGCTATAAATTTAAATACACTAAGTGCTATAATGTAAAATTATATTATAATGATTTTGGCTAGAGATGTGACTCACATGGTAGAGTGCCTGACTAGCAAGCATGACGCTCTAATTTTAAATCCTAGTACAGGAAGAAAAAAACGGTAATTTTTTAATAATCAGTTTTTTATTTATACTTTCAAAAAATAGAATACAGAGAACAGTCTCAGCTTATAAGAATGATCAATTTTCAGATATCTAAGTAAGATAAAAATATTGTAGTTCAGTAAAAAAAATATATGACTTGGGGGCAACAACAGAACAGAGAAAGAGACACACAGACTATCAGAGAGAGATACAGGAAAAGGCATACTCCAAAGTCAATGAGGCATAATTTGAAGAGCACATTATTTAATTGTCCTGCATTTAATACTAATTTTGTTCCTATTTACCTTACCTATAATCATTAATAAGGGCCTTCATATGTTTTCTACGTAGTAAATCTTCACATACTTGAATATACTATTGAAATACTGCTAAGGGCCTATTCCTATTAATCTCATTCAAATGAAAACCAAAGATTCAATATTACTTAATACATATGTAAGGTGTATTTCTAAGAAAATTTTAGGAACATAATTTAAGGAAAACAGTGGAATGAAAGAAAATTTCCAGAAATAGTGAGAGATGCTATATATCACATACAAGTAATAAACAGGTTAGAAGGAAAAATAAGAGAGACTAGTTTCACTTTATGTGGGATAATCCTGGAATATATCTAAATTGACCAAGAGTTGGTAATTTCACTTCATATATGAAGAATACATTTAGATGGGCCAAGATTGATTTATATCTGACAGAAAAGGTTATATAGATCATCCTAAAATATATTTTGCCTGTCTGAAAAAAGCAGGGCTACTATACAGACCCAAGAATGAGATAATAAATGTAACATTCTAGAAATTTTCAGATCTTTAACATACTAAAGTCAATGTAATTATTATATAATTCAATTGAACATTTTCATTCACATTTAATAGATATTTTAAAATTATAAGTCTGAAAACTATTAAATTATTGATTTTTCCATGTTTCATTGGTGTTGAAGTATATTCAAGGTACAAGACATTAAAATTATGTAGTATAATTTTATTTTACTCAATTTCATAAAGACAGTAATAAGCATTTGGATGACAGAGGAAAGTAAAAAGATTCTGGATTTCAAGAAAACCATGTGAAAATGTGGTGTATGTGAAAGGACTAGTAAAGTTTACATACAGACCTGCTGTTCAACATGGGCGCCAAGAGCCACATGTGCTTTGGAACACATACACTTTAGCTATCATAAAACTCTAATTATGAACAACTTGGGTAATACAGATCATGTATTCCTATTAAAAATTTTAGCATCTGAATGAAGGTTGCTGTAAGTATAAAATATACACTATATTTTGAAGACAGTGCAAAAAAGTAAACTATCTTGTTAATTTTTATGATATCAATTTTATTTGATTATGTGTTGAAATGATAATGTATTGGGTTTAATAAAGTAAAATTAATTTCACCTTCTTCCTTTTGTTATAGACTGCATTATGGCCAACAGCCTACATGATGGTCTACTGTCACAGCATTTTAATCTAAAAGATTCACTGATGTTTAAATACTATATATAAGTGACTTAACTCAGAAACTGCTCTTCTGTGAAAAATATAACTAGCCTAATACCAAGAACAATAGCTAAAATTACCTTTTTCTCTTCCCATTCTTTGACTGCGCTGGGCTGCCCACTTGGAAACTGCAACACACTCCCAGTGCCAGCAGACAACAGTGGAGGTTGGACCTTGCTAAGAATCTTTGAGCAGAGCCTGAGAGAATCTGTGAGCTCAGACAAGTGCAATGTCTGGAGATGGCTTGTCAGGGCAGAAACCATCCTCAGCAGCAACTGAGGCAAGTGTTCTGTCTGGATTTCAATGTAAGTCTCCTGAAAATAAAAGTAAATTGAAAATTTTTCAATGATGAAGTTGCTATTTATTTTTTACTCTATACAAATAAGGCTATATTTTGTTCATATTTTATAGGTATCATGCTTTTAATTAGTATTGTATAGTTATTTTATTATTGAAGACATAAAATTTCTATTCCCAATTTCTCAATTTAAGTACTTCAAGAATATATCACAAAACACCCCCAGTTTTTCCATTATATCAGTGAAATTACAACATAACAAAAGTGAATGGAATCAGTTAAAAACAAAACAGGCTGAATGTCATACCTGACACAGCACCCTCATACTTCTAGTAGGCTTCAAAATGAGAAAGCAAAGAATTGAGGAGAGAAAACATAAGGGGAAATATTTCCAACAGTCTTCATTTAATAGAAAAAAATCATTAATGAATACAAAAGCAGCATTAGACCACCATATACAAGCTAAGATTTTATAGCATGCAGTTAGGAAATATATTCTATTTATTACACATGTACGTCAGAGGACAAAATACGTAGAAAATGTTATGAGAAAAAGCTACTCTAAAGAGAAAAAATTAATTTTAAAGACGAAATTTATTTAAAGATGTAATTTATCTCCAATAACATTTGAACTTTGTTGTTAGATTTCCTTGATATGTTTGTTTGTTTGTTTGTTTGTTTTACCAAGGTAATCTTACCAAAGAAACTATATCCAACAAAAAATCCACCAGTAAGCAGAAATTGGTCAGCTGTAACTCAGATGATTCACTACTATCTCCAGGCCCAATCTGAAGTCTGGTGTGTAATGTCCTCCTAAAAGGACAAAAATTTATCAAGCGTACTATCAAGTAATATTAATGACAACATCATTGTGTTACCAGCAAAGGCCAAGTCAACAATGAGTCACACAGTAAAGTTCTTGTGATGACACATTCCCTTTCCCCCAAGGCATGACTACCTTTATGGAGAAAATTCTTAAACTAAGTTTCCTAGGCCTAACCTCTCCCTGTAATTGCTATCCTGTACCACCCACGTGTTCGGGATGGATCTCACTTTTTCAGATTTATTTTCCATTGTTCCCACTATAAATGTCATCTCCTAGTAAAAACGGATTGCTACTTTTTTCTAAACGTAGGGTCTCTATTTATAACAATTTGTCGTCCTGGATTACTGTCCTCCCCAACTTACTTCTCATATCTAGAATGCATCTATACTTTAAGATATGAGATCAAATGTTACTTCTTCTAGGAAGTCTTTTAGGATCCAAGAAGTAGAGCTAGATCTTCTGAAAAAACATTCATATTAAGTCTTATTAATCCTATAAGACCACACATTGCCTTACACACTGTAGACACAAAGTAAGAATATGACATAGTCCCTGACCAGCAAGAAATAAAAGCATATGGACAAATAAATACAACAGTGTCACAGTGTGGTGACATTGATTGGTGGTTTGAGAAAGCTAGAAGACTACTGGAAGGTGGGTGACCTCACTTTAGGACCATAGCAGATGGGCAAACTGGGCAGAGTATTTTAGGAACAATACTACAATAAATGCTTAGCAGCATGAAAGTAACTGTTGTCCAGGTTAGCTCAAGAAGCATAGAGGTGTGTTTTTACAAACACAGAAAGAAACACAGAAGGTTGGATGTATATATTTGTGGACACTGAAGGTGAAAACACAGTGTAGGGTAGGTGGTGAAGAGATAGTCCTAATTCCTCCTATAATTTAATCTCTGTATGGGGCAGTTGCAATTTTTAATTGAATACCAGAAATGTATGCATGTATGTCTTACTTATCCCAAGATAAAGTCTTTGAAGACAGGAACCATTTATATGCCTAACATGATGACAAATGGGTAAGCAAAAAAAAAAAATCCTAAATCATTAAAGAGATTCATGTATAGCAACATTCATATTTCCTACCTATTCTCTTTTTTTCTTTTGCAGTACTGAGGCCTCACACTTGCTAGGCAGGAGCTCTACCACTTGAGCCATACCTCTAAGCCTGCAACATCCACATTACTAAAAACTTCTAAACCTCAGATTGTACATATTTACTTTTTTATTACATGTTTCTGAGGCATGAGAGTTTAATCTGGTTCTGAGAGGATTTGGTTTAGAATCCATAGATTTCACTCAGCTTCACTAGTAGTCTAGGGTTTCAGACCATGTTTCAGGCTTTATATCCTAAGGAGTAGAGGGGTTTTTTTAATCATTCATCAGAGACAACATGGGCCAGTTCTACGTCTTTGAAAACACAGGAGGACCAAGGAGGTTTTGTTAATCAAACTGAGAATACTTTTTGGAAAGTGTGTCAAGGCAGCAGCACAAATCTGCTATCTTCTTTACCACAAAAAAGAGGGGATTACTATTCACTGTTGGTGAATACAGAACTAATTTCTAAGCTAGTTCCTAATTCTAAAGATTATGTGATCAATGATTTTTATATCCTAGAGTGACAAAGTAGAGTCATACTATGGAAAGTAAATAATTAATAATTTTCAGTAGAAGTAAAATATAAAAGAACATTCTTATCATTAGATTGAAAATTTAAAGTCAAAAGTTAGCTTTGTATATTATTAAATTTTAAAAAATGAAATAATTTAACATACCTACAGCATTCTTCAAACCAACGTGCAACGTAATCCCACATATAATAAGGTTCAAAAGAATTAAAGAGAAGGTTGGCAGTTTTAATCAGCTCTGCTGTTTTCTTATTTTCCCTTAGTTTACTAAAGAAAAGGAAAGAAACAAAAACGAAACACTATGAGCACTTATTGTTTCAAATTTGAATGCAGTATTATTAGAGCAGTACATATTCCTAGGTAATTGGCAAAAATACGCTAGTAAAAATATTGCAACAAATAATCTTAATATACTGTCACTATTTACTTTATATGTAATTATTTTTCAAATTTGAGTTTTTATAACTCAAACAAATGATCAAGATCAGAAAGTGACCTTGCAAAATTTCTGCATAATAAAAACCACAAAATAACAGGAAGCTCTTTTTGCTCTATTTCTCTCTCTCTTTTTTTTTTTGACTGAGAAAGGGCCTGGAACTCACTATGTAACCCATCTTGCCTTAAACTTGAGATTCTCCTGTTTTAGCCTCTATGTGTTGGGAGTTACATGTGTGCATCACCACACCTAGCATCTTTTTGAATTTTTAAAGTGTACAATTGTTAATTTGGCATCAAATTGCTTTGATTCCCTTGGCATATATAAATTGAGTAGTGATTTGGTTTTGACAGTCTTGATTTTGAAGAATTTTGCTTGCTTTCCTGTGCTGTTCAGATTTGTTTTCAATGAAAGATTATTTTGACCAGTTTCACTCAAATTATTATTCTTAGCTTGAAAAACAAACAAAAAAAGACTATTATTGTAAATAGTATTGTAAATTACTACTAAAATTCTATCAGGGAAAAGTAGCCTCTCATTTACCTATTTTCTCCTATACTTTCTAAGAGATGTACTGTCAATATAGCTAGTAGGTTTTAGCAGAAAAAGACTAATCAAGTACTCTATAAGACAATATAAATTCTCAGGCAGAGTACATGAAATAGAATGAAATAAGTCAACATTAACTTCTCTAACCAAAAATAGAGGGAATTATATCATCAGAAAAAATAAACTGTCTACAAATGTTTTTATAGATATTTTAAAGTACACTTTAGGAAAATCCAGGATATCTCAAAGTTATCAACAAAGAAGACACTAATGAAATGTAAATTTTGTAAAAACTTGTAGCCTTAGAATATGTCATATTATAATAACAGATGATACTAGAAACAAAGTGGTCTGCTTAAAGCAGAGAAGAAAACAATGCAACTTTGTCAGCATGTATCTGTCACTGACACAGAGAACAGGACATACTAATTAATTACATGACCTATCCTAGGAATTCAAGTGTATATATAGTTGAAAGAAGAAATAACTAGAACTTTACAAACAGAACACACAGTGGCCTTTCATTAATTTCATTTGTTAAGTCTGTCTTCTGGTCTTTTTCTGATCTACGATTTGGCCTCCCAAGTGTGTCAAGTCATCAAGTGACACCACTCAATTCAAACAAACAGGCCAGGACTGGTTACCAAACAAGACAGACTCTCATTATTAACTGATGTGCGGAAGTCTCTTGTGGTTTTATAAGTGTAATTAAATTCCATGGTTAACATTTAATATCTTCATATTAACTGCTGAAATTTAATTTATTAAACTGGTGAAATTAAGAACCAACCTTGGAATGTTTCATTGTGTTACCATGTTTAAAGAGTCTATTTGACTAATGAGTACAGTTAATTACAATACTTCATGCTACCAAAATATAGTGATATCTTAAATCCATCTTACTCATCAGAACACAAATTTCATACAGTAATATGTTATAGTAAGTGAATATATACTTCCTGAATATTAATAAATGAGGATATTTTCTTGTCATGCTTAATTTTTTGGTAATCTACCTGCTTAGCTGAGCATGGTCTTTGCTGAAGGGTGGTTCCATTTGAAAATCCAATTCTGCTTTGCATTGAGAATATAATGTTCTAAATACCTCAATCAGGACATCTTCCAGAATTACAGGTCCTTAAAGTTATATACAAATTAAAGACAGCAATTAGCACTGGCAAATCATGATTATCTGAAAAGTGGTCAAATTAAAGGATGCTTTAACAAGTATTATTTTTAAATAATATTTTTTTCAGACACTCAATTTCACATTTTGAGAAACTGTCAAGTGATAAATAACTGAACAAATGTCTCACATAACAGAACTGACAGAATCAGGAAAACTGACTTGGTAACTTAATTATCTTTATTACTTTGGACAAGTATATTTAACTTCTTTAAGTTTTATTAAAGAAGTTAAATAAAACTTAAATAAATTAAATAAAAATAATACCAACTTACAGAATAGTTTTTAGGATTAGGGACAATATTTGTGTGGTACACAAAATAGTTCTTAAAATACAGTGATTGTTCAATAAATGATATTTGTATCACTATCATTGTTAATAGCTCTAAAATGCAAGAGGCTAAATTTTATTGCTATGACATATGCCAATTTCCTTTAAAAAATTCCTCGCCTTGAGCTATTGTGTACTATCATCTATTATCAATGACATAACCCATTATTTTCACACTTTAAGAGTTGTAGCATATTTGCTAAAATGTGTATATAATTTGAAGAAATTACACTTTATAATTTCATTTATTAATATTTAGTTTTTTCTTAATTTGTCTCAAATACCATAATTAACTTTCCAATGGATCTAATACATAATAAATACACAATGAAGAAAGGGAAAACACACAAAACAAAAGGGGTGAGGTAATGAATATACAATCCAAATATTTAAGCCAAGTCCTTAAATTTTATAAACTATAACTTCATCATGACAATCATAAATGTCTTAATTTCACTAAATCAGAATTAAGAAAAATTTACATATCTTTAAAAAATAATTTTTCTGCTATATATGTAGTTCAAGGCACAAAGTATGATAATAATATATAAGCTGAATGCACCTATATCTTAACTTTGCAGTGTGAACTTTAAACAAGAAATTGTTGAGAACTTGAATTTATAAGTCACCTGAAAATATAGTCATTTTTCTAATGACTTTGTCATATTTTTATTAGGAAACAATATAGAACCATCACATGTGACTTTAGGCCTTGGGATAGCAATATATATTACCTAGCTCAGGTTTATCCAGTAAGCTGATTAAAATACGGAAGGGTTTTAGATCCTGCATTAGAGTGCTCTCTTCTCCAAATCCATTCACTTGTAAGATTCCCACCATTGCCTTTACAAAACAGAAGTACATTAGTCATTTAGTAAACATATTCAAATCTTTTTTTCTCAAGAAAAAAGTATTTTTAGAAATGGGAGGGGGGAGGGAGAGGTACTAAGGGAATATAATAAAGGGGGTGAATTTGTTCAAAGTAAGTTGTATGATTCTATGAAGATTTCACATTGTGACTCCCTTGTACTGTTAACGATAAAATAAAAAGTATTCTTAAATATAATCATATGTTATAGCAGTCATATCCCCTATTGCTTTACTGAAGCCTTTTTCCTCTGCTAGGAAGAAAATGTTATATTCACCTGCCTAGAGTGAAGAACCAGGTACTTAAATTTTCTTCAGAAAAAAATTAGAAGAGTTAAAGAAAATGAGAAGTACATTCATGGTGGACTGTTTATCCTTAAGATGAGAATGCTTTCTATTGAAGATCATGAACTCCAAACTATGCCACCTCATCATTGCAGTATTATGCAATTATTTTCTCATCAGTGACTTAAAACAGTATATTACTTCACTCATTTAAAAATGTTTCAGATATCACATATTTCTTAGTTTAGTTTTAGAAATTTTGAATAAATACAAGTAAAGCAAAACTGATATGAAATAAACCTATGGATCATTTTAGTATTTCCATTATAATGGCAGTTTTACCGTATTTGATTCTCAGTATAACCCAAGTTTTCTGGGGGCTTTTTAGGAAATAAAATAGGTTTTCACCCACTTTTGGAAAAGCTCCAATTTTCACAGGGCAGACAAGTGAAAAAGCTATCCCTATGTTTTAATAAAATCATACAAACAGCAAAGGAAAAAAAATTTGGCTTTACTCAGAAATATTTCTGAGTATTTCTCACTTATGATCACTTACTTTATTGTAGCCTTTTGCCTGTTATAGTCATTCTTAGGTAGTTTTTGAGTCTTGTCTCCATTCTTTCAACTCAACTCAACCAAGGCAGGTTTTTATAAAATACCTTTTCAGTAATTCTAGTGATCAGTGAGTAAATAAAAAATAATGAAAGCATCCATTACCTGGACCAATAATTCTTTGGAAAAGGTTGTGAAATAGTAAGTGGCATGTTCTTCAGGATTACTGTGTCTTGTGCTTCTGGGTCCTACGACAGCACCGTTATTATCAAAACCTCCATGGAAATAAATCATAAAATGAATTAAAATGGGACTCCTAAAATTGTTGTTCACTAAATACCAAAACAGCAAATATCTCAAAAACAGCACTAAACACTTACCAATTAGTAGCCCATTCAATGTCAGCAAGAGAGATCATTTTAGATGGTTTAATAAAGGGAAACCAATTCAATACATAAGTATCATAGAATTCTTCCAGAATTACCTTTTTTTTCTTTTCCCCAATCTTACCAACAGATAAATAACTGCAAACTCAGAACATCCAAGGTAAGTTATATGGTGTCCTCTCACTGTAGGTAGTAAGGGGCTATGAGGACAGGCCAAACACTCACAAAAACGTATGGAAGACAGAAGTACACACAGTTGTTTTATTGCCTGACTGGAAGACAGGTACTATGTGTGTGAGACAGTTGTACTTACCGGTCTTGATTTGATGACTTGACAGTTTTGGAAACACTGTTACTATTTGGATTATTTATCCTTCTTTATCTACTAACTTGTAGTATAACAACCAAGGGAAAAAAATCTCAAAAAGGGAACATGATCATATAAATTCAAATAGTCACTTTGACTAGGAAGCTTCTAAAATTTCTTTGTACAAAACACCATTAGTAGTTTATATTTTTTATCATCTATTTATAAAAAAAACTTAGTTTTTTTCACTAATGACAGTCACACAACACATACATACTTATATAGGGTAATTTCCCCTCCATTTTTTCTAACTATGAGCACATACATCAAATACCTACCAAGAAGCCATGCATAAAGTCTTCGGTTCAGGGACATATCCCTTCGTAGTACCACATGAAGGGCTGCTGACAAGATTCTGATCATATCTGGTCGAGTGGCCTGAAAAAGTTTGGGATGTGGTTGTACTTAATTGCATATAAAAAGTACATCACAATTTTTCCTCTTTTAAAAAAATGCTTTGAAATATGCTCAGAACCTAATGCTGTAATAAAAGTATTTTCATACAACATTATCTCATTAGATCTTTTGAATATAGGAGCAAACTTCCATTTTACAGATTAGGAAAAAAGAAGAAAATTAAGTAACATAACTAGTTTTATAACTGAGACTCTAACTGAATTATTTTAATATACTTACATATCCAATAATAGTAAAATCTGATACAAAACAAGGAAAATAAAGCAAGATGGGACAGTTACTAGAAAATCATGCCATTAGTCTTTCACACTCATAGTGCTGTGAACTGACAATAAATTTCTTTTAAAAAGTCCCCATCTTCATCAATTCTAAGTCCTTCTCAAAAATCCTGTTTGCAGTAATTCAAACATACAAAAAATACAGAAAACAATGTAATGAACCCATTTGTCCCAACATTCAGCTTAAGCAAATTTTACTCTTAAATTTTTGCTCAGCTCTTAAGAGCAATATCTTTTTTACTTCTTTCCCACAGCCTTAACTAGATGTTTAGAAAATGAAAAAAGATCTGACTTCAAAGACATAAATTTAAAAAAATAGAGGGAAGCTAATATATTTGTTGTTAATGTTAAGAATATTAGCAGATAACAACTTTAGAATAGAATCTTGGAAACCTGGAACTAGAAGTTAACTTAGAAATTGATTAGTTTAACAACCATTATATAAATAAAGGACCTGAGCCTCCCAAACCTAAGAGCTTAGCTAAATTCAAATGTCTGGTTAATGCCTCAGTTGGATGTAGACCCAACCTCTCACTAACACATAGCAGTGAACTTTTTTCTATTCTACACTTCCTGATACAGGCAGGAAGGGATTCATCCAGAACTGGAAATAAGTGAGATGCTGCAGAATACATATCATTCATAGCTGACAAATTATGTTTAACAACTTTGAACACAAATCTCTTCCATTAATCTATTCAATTTTTGAATTGTAGTCCCTGGACCCCTGGGGATCATATAAGATTATTTCAGGATGCCCACAAAGTAAAACCTTACTACACACACATATAACATATTAAAACCGCACATATTAATAACAATATTAAGATGCTACATGCTTTTTTTTCCATGTTGACATTTGCTCTGATCATGCAATTAGTAGGCAAAATGGCTGGCACCTTAGCATACAAAGATTAGAACAGTGGTACCCAGGGTGTAGCTCAGCGGTAGATTAGCATGAGTGAGGCCATAGGTTAACTCTCAAGCACAAAAAAGAAAAAGAGCCAGTTTCACAATTTTTAAAAATAACGTTGATGAAACAGCAAAAGCTTGTCATTCAAGGTCTACCATCGAGGACATGTCTGTGTAATGAAATGGGAAGTATACATAAAGCACTTCTGTCACGTACATAAGTGTGATGATAGTTGTTTCAAGGAAAAGTATCTGTGCCACATTAAGGGTTGTCAGTTCAACTATCAGCTTTTTCACAGAATGCCATTTTTGCCTGAAAGAATTAGTAATGTAAACTATGATTATTCAAACTTTGACACTTGGTTTATTTTTTTCAAATAAGGTGATATTATCACTTCAAGGGAAACAAGATTGCTACAAATAAAAATTTTGACATTCCAGGAGAACATTAGAATTTTGGAAAATTTGCATCTGTGTTGAAGTTGTATTTTTTAAAAATGTATTGGGCTTGAAAACTTCTAATGCCTAAAAATTTATGAATGGGATCAGCAGTATTGATAATTAATGTGATTGTTTGATGTTATACAATGAAATGGGTCCACATTTGGAAAATCTGCATCGTTCAGTAAGCCAGTATTTTTTAATTAACAAATCATGATGTTGCCAAAGCATATATGAGCAAAAAAGACAATGAAAACACCAGATAGACCAGTCGATGTTAATGAAACAGAATAAGAAAAGTTCACTGATACAATTTTAGACTCCATGTTATGACTAATTTTTATAATTGCAGCTTCTCAAGTTTTGGTGTATTGAAGATTATACAATTATTAACAAAAAATACAATTGAAACACTCCTTTCTCTTCCAACTGTATATCAATGTGAGAGCACATTTTTCTTCACAGACTCAAAGAATAAATCACAGAAGCAGGTATGAGCTTTCTGCTGTTAGGTCAGGTATTAAAGAGATCGGTAAAAAAATATGAAATAATGTTTGTCAATGATTTCCTTTATGTGCTGGAACATATTTTCATAAAATGTTGTTTATGTTAGTGTAAAAACTATGTTATTATAAATTAGTGAATATTTTTAAATTTGCCAGTTTTAATTTATAAGATAAATATAGACAGTTCTAACCTATATAACGAAAAGGTTTTTAAGATCCTCAGTATCAGGCCAGACGCGTAGCTCAAATGGTAAGAGTGCCTAGTGCTGCCAAAAAAAAAAAAAAAAAAAAAAAAAAAAAGGTGCTTTAAAAAAAAAGATCCTCAATATTTTTTAAGAGTGTAATGTAAGCTGGGTATGGTGGCACATGCCTATTATCCCTGCTACACGGGAGGCAGAGACGGGAGAATCATGGTTCAAGGCCAAGGTGGGCAAAAGCTAGCAAAGCCCCATCTCAAAAACAAGCTCAACACAATACATGCCTGTGGAGTCTCAGCTATGCAGGAGGCAGAGGTAGGAGGATGGCAGTTGGGGGCTGGCTCCAAGCAAAACCCACTAAACTCTATCTGGAAAAGAACTAAAAAGCAAAAAGGGTTGGGGATATGGCAGAATGCCTGCTTAGCAAGTGCAAAGCCCCTGAGCAAAAAAAGTATAAGGGAGTTCTGCAACCAAAGCATTTGAGAACTGCTGATCTATCTATCCAACATCAGACATACAGTTTACAGACACTGTTACAAAATCTTACTGAGTAGAAAGGTCATACATGTACACATACACATTGTTTTGGGGAGGACAGTATTGGAATTTAAACTCAGGGTCTCCCACTTTTTACACAGGTGTTCCACCATTTAAGCTACAACCCTAGCTCTTTCTTGCAGAAAAGGGTCTTGTGTTTTTGCCCAAGCCAGCCTGGACCATGATCCTCCTACTTATGCTTCTTCATAGCTGGGATGGCAGGCACATGAGCTACCACACCCAGCTTTTTTGGGTTAAGATTAGGTCTCACTAACTTTTTGCTTGGGCTGGCCCTGAACCATGATCCTCCCCATCTCTGTCTTCCAAGGAGAGGGGATTACAGGCATGAGCCACCATGCCTAGTCCTTTCTCTCCATCTTATCTGGGGAGAAAAACTACTCAAAAAAGCAAGAACTGGGAGATGTTGATCAGAGCATACAAAATCTCATCTAGACAGGAGGAATAAATTTAAGAGATATGAAATAGTTGGGCACCAGCAGCTCACGCCTGTAATCCTAACTATTACTCAGGAGGCAGAGATCAGGAGGATTGTGGTTCAAACCCAGACCCAAGCAAACAGTTCACAAGACCCTACCTCAAAAAACCCTTCACAAAAAAGGGCTGGTGGAGTGACTCAAGGTGTAGGCCCTGAGTTCAAACCCCAGCACTGCAAAAAAAAAAAAAAAGATATGCTGTATGATATAGTAACCATTGTTAACAACAATAAATCCTTAAGAATAGATTTTACGTTTTCTCACTGCTGAAAATAGTATGTGAATTAATATATGAATTAGCTCAATTTAACCATTTCACAATGTATACATATTTCAAAACATCATGAATACAATATATAATTTCTGTCAATTAATAAATAAGGTAAGAAGTCACTTTTCTTGAGTGTGTGTACTAGGGACTGAACCCAGAACCTCACATATCTATGACCGAGATATACTTTCAGTCAAGAAGTTGATTTTTTTTTGGACTCAGGGTCTCACTATGTAGCCTCAATTGGCAATCCTTCTGCCTCAGCCTCTCAAGTACTGGGATTACAGGTATGTATCACCATATCCAGCTAAGTAGTCACTTCTTAATTATTGCTGACATTACCACATATTTGTGATATGTAAAAAAATTCTAATGAAGTCTCAATTAAAGGTACCAGAGATTCAGGTCAACTTTTCCTGAAATAAGTTAAAAAAGTGTAACAGTCTATCTACAACATAACAGCAATCATACTTTTGGAATAAGTAATGATGGTTCTGTTAAATCAAAATTAAAATCAATACTTGCTAAAAATCTACTATATGTAAGAACTAAAAAGAGGTAAGATGGGGAACCAAAATGACTATGTTATAATCCTTATTCTAGAAATGTGGGGAACACATGTGAGTAAATGTAAAAACCATAAAATAAAAAAGAAACAAAAAGAAATGCAGGGAAAACTACTAGAATTAGAAGAATATTAGAAGTAGGTATGGGCTTTAAAAAACACATTCAATACAATTATTGTTTCTCTTAAACAAATTATAGCATGTGAAGTTTGAGAGAATATTGGCTGGCAGGAATATAGAGAAGGTAAAGTAAGAAAATATAAAATACAAGTTGAAAAATGGTTCAGAATCACTGATCTAGCAGGGAGATTACAAATAAATTTTAAAAATCTATTTAAGTATACTAAGACTTATTTCCTCAGATGCTGTTGAGAAACCTTTTAACTGAGGGACTACTGATATTGACTAGTTGTATAGAAAGAAAGTTGAGGATCAAAAGTCAGTAAACTTCTTCAATAAAGAGCCAGACAGTACATAGTTTAGGCTTTTGGACCACATATATTTCTTTATCATAATCTTGTTTTCTTTTACAAGCCTACATAAAGTAAGAAGTCATTCTTATCTTGCAAACCATTTGGCAACCCATATGCTAAAGCATTGACAAGTGTAGTCTATACTTAATTTTCCCAGTATGGAGAAGTAATGAAAACCCAGAGGGCAGAAAAAAGGCCTCTAGGTAAGTGAGAGTCTCAAAATAGAAACTTGAGGTGGTTTGTATCCCAACTTAGTGACAATACAGGCAATGAAGTATAAAACTTTCGAACTGTTAACTTATTCAAATTAAATAAAGAAAATGTAAATATAGTAATAAGAGCAATAAGTAAAATTAGCCATCATAGAGTAAATTCACTATAAATAACTATTAAACTTTGAAAATCATGAAAATCCTAAATAAGTCTTTTCTGCTAATCCTTTCTAGCAATAAACTCAATTTTTTAAGGTACAAGTCCTCTATATTTAATTACTTTTGTTAAGTATCATCACTCTGAATGCTTATGCTCTGGGACTGTAAGCTACTCTTCAACAAAGTTTAGAACTCAGCTGTGCACTGTCTCACACTATAATCCTAGCTACTCAGGAGGCAGAAATCAGGAAGATCGTATTTCAAAGCCAGCCTGGCTAAAATAGTTTTCAAGAGACCCTATCTCGAAAAAAACCCATAATAAAAAAGGGCTGGTGTAGGCCCTGAGTTAAAACACCAGTACTGCAAAAAAAATTACAACTTAAAAAATTTAGATCACTACTTTTAAAATGAGAGCTCTAAGTTTCAGTAATGAAACACTTCATTCATGATTTGTCAAGTCAGTTGCTCTTATCTGTAAAAAAAAGTACTAGCAAATTTAACAGTGACTAAATATCTGGCTGTCAAATTATAGTCAACACTGCTTAAGTTCTGGCCTGCATCCTGAAATCACCAAAGCAAGAAAAGGTAACACCAAACCGATCAGTTGTTGCCTGGGAAAAAGCTTGGGTTTCAGAGTCCCAGCTTTCACAGCTATTAATGAGGGTCACTTGCTTTTTATAGAACTTTTTTAAAGGTATGAAATAATATGCTTCAAGGACCAAATTCTTGGTCCTTGAATTTGTTTTCTTCAAAATTTTTACAAAGTCCACTTTTCTTAAGGGAACTTGGTTTATGTGTGTATTCAGTGATTTATAAGCAAAATAATCCAACATAATGCCTTTAAAAAATAACCACACCATGAATCTGATTCTCCAAGAATGCCTTACATTTAATAACATCAACATTAATGCTTTACCTGACTCATGTGGAATGGAAAACAGAAGAGTATGAGGTCCAGTGTGCTTCTTTGTACAAGTACACTTGAGTCTTGCACTGAAGTACTTACTGCTTCTACCTGAAATAATAAAGCCTTTAACATCAATGGTCTATTACACTGGGAAATATTTGCCATGGAAATGTACCATCTTTTCATTTTCTATAATAAATAAAAGCATGCTTCTGAGAACTAAAGAACTCTAAAAACAATTTTGTTTACTATATACCCTGTGGAGATTTCTGATGACTTTTCACTGTCAGTCCTGTCTACACAATTATCTGTATGCAAATGATTTGTTGTAGTTTTACCCATAATTGCCCCAAACTAGATGCAATTCAAATGTCCACTAACTGATGAATGAATAATCAAACTGTGGTACTGTCATACAATAGAGTATAAGTAGCAAAACAAAGAAATAAAAGTGATACTCATAATCATAGATAACTCTGTTATAGTGAAAGAAAGAGTACTTAAAAGCTATATGCAGTATGATTCAATTTATGTAACACTGCAGAAAAAGCAAAATGATAGGAACAGAAAAGCAACCAGTGTATGCAAAAGCCTGGAATATAGAGGAAGGGGAAGATTGCAAATAGCAGAGAACATTTGGGGTTATGTAATTTTGCTGAACCTTGATTTGTGGTTATATGATTGTAGGTACTTGTTGAAATTCATAAACCTGTGCATGTAACATAGGTTAATTCAGTGGATGCAAGTAATACTTTAGTAAACCTAACATAAATTCTGCACAAATTATCAGTCATGTCATTATTATATGGGAAAAATAAAGATTAATAAAACATTTTGATCATGTACTAATAAAATGTTAAAGAAGGTTTGTTTTTAATTCCTTGATTCTTTGAGGTGTACAGCACTCTATATTTTCTTTTTCCTTCTTCCTCTCCTTCCTCCCCTTTTCCACTTCCCCTTCTTCTTGGTACTGGGACTTGAAATCAGGGCTTTACCTATGATAAGCAGGCACTCTACTACTTGAGCCACTCCCCACCCCCAGCCTGTCTATTCTTAATTTTGACATTGAAAATAAAAGTATACAAAAGCAAAAGTATGATTTTTTTCTACTATCTTTCAGTGTCTGCCTTTGTATTACATTCTCTCACAAAAATCTCATACAGAATCTGGCTAAATCACTTTGCCTAACATTCTTTTCTCTTATAAAGAAAACTATGAGTAAAGAGAAGGGCCACTTCAGAATGTAACAAATGTGGCTATGATAACAGTGGTCTGATTAGTCATCAGCATAGTAATAATAAATATCATCAATTTGCTTGAATAACAGATAATAGAGGTAACATATAAATAACAATCCCCTATTCATGAAAAAAAATCAAGCTGTTAAAGTTAATAATTAATGATCATTTTATTTTGGTCTTTAGTTTTCTTTGATGAAAAAAATGTAAGCTCCATGAAAATAGGAACTTTGTCTATGGCATGATCCTCAATATTCATCTGGAATAGTGCCTGGCTCTAAAGAAATATTTATGGCACGAGCAACCATATTTTTAGACCTACCATTAACTCAATATCACTGCCAATTATATAAAGTTGATCTTCCATAGAAAGCTTTCTGTTCAGATGAGCTAGAACATATGTGATTCCAGGTAAACGAACAGCAGGACTGGTGAGAAGACTACCCCACAGGGCACTGTAGAATGCTGACTGGTCAACTGCAGCAGCAACCTTTTCCAACAATGTGTTTGTTCTGAGGTACAAAACAAAGTGGCATAAGAAGAAAACATTTAGTGTCACATTGAAAGAAATAAATCATTATTATCTTCCCATTCTGAAAACAAGCATGATAGACTGGAGGAGAATGTATTTTATAATCAGAAGACTGGCTCCATTATTCAAGTCCTGGCTCCACGATTTACTAGCTGTGTACCTTGGGGAAATCACTTAATTTTTCTTCAGTTCAGTCTTCTCATCTGTAAAATGAAGACAACAACAGAAACACCACCACAAAACCTACTGAATTGCTAAATTACTGAAAGTAATAAAACACCTTATACACATCTCAGTAATTGGTAATCCTATCACAGAATGTATCTTCTGTTGCGTTTCTACAAAATCTTAGATACCAGCAAATGCTTTTTTCTTTTTGAAATCAAATGTTATATAGTTCATAGTAACTTTAATGAACTATACCTATGACAAAAATCAAAGACACATTACTGCCTTATTAAGGAGAGCATTAAAGGTTAATAACCTTTTATTTAACTAAAATAAACAATAAAGATCTGCTACATTATACAATCCTTACATGAATATAATTTAAAATATAACTGAATTATTAGCTAGATGAAATTTCACATTACATTTCTGTAACTGTAAGCAAATAAACAATAGATAAATTAAGAAAATGATAAGCTTTGAGGACAAAATTATTTTTTTCCAAGTAACCTATAAGGATCATCCAATAGATTCTTACTGCATTATGGAAACAGCTGAGATACAGTAGAGTAACTGGTGAATGCATTTGAATAAATTATTTAAGTTTAAATCATTAAGTCTATTCATGAAGCAAATGTGGCATTTTCTATTTTAGCCACCTAAAATTTAGATATTAAAGATACTTAATGCTATCATGCATTGTCTATAACTATAAACTCTTAAAAATAAGTCTCCAACATGAAGTTTTTGAAAAGTCAAAATATCTAGAGTACCACATTTCTAGGTAGTGAAATACCACTTTTCTTGATCATTGGTTATTTTTTTCTCTCTTAGCAGTTTAAAAATTGTTAGCACATGTACTAATTTTTTGTTCTTTCCATTAATCTGTATCTCTTATCATTTGTGATATTATCTTAAATTATGGGTCACAATTTTTAAGTGGTTTATATGTGCAAGGTACTGTACTGAGTAATTTTCTTAATACTGTAATAAAATGAAAGATATGCTTCTTTTATATATGAGGAAAATAAATAAAATTCAAAAATGTTAAGAAAGTTGTTCTATGCTCAGTGTCTGAACCCACTGTGCCGTCCATTCACCTGTCTGTACTTTTACCATGCATTTACATTTTCATTGTGATCCACAGATTATAATTTTTAGTTATTGAAATCTTAATGTGCTATGTTGAAGCGTCTAGAATAATTCACGTTTTAAATTAAAAAAAAAAATTACCCACACCTGAAAATCTATATACTCAGGAGGCAGATACCAGGAAGATTGCAGTTTGAAGCCAGCCTGGGCAAATAGTTCGCAAGGTCCTATCTCAAAAAAAACGCATCACAAAAATAGGGCTGGTGAAGTGACTCAGTGTGAAGATCTTGAGTTCAGACTCCAGTATTGTAAATAAATAAAAATAAAAATTAATTTTATTAGCATACAATAATTGTACAGGAGGATATACTGTGTATTTACATATATGCTTGCAGTATATCTTAGATTTACTCCCGCCAAGCATTCTCCCTCATCTCCCTTCCCCCTTCTTAAAACAATTTCAACAGCTTTCATTCTATTTCCCATATATGAATACAAAATACATAAGCCATTAGAATAATTCACATTTGTGATATTATAACATATTTAAGGATGATTTCTGACAAATCCATGATTTGGATTACATAGCTGTACCAAATATCATTTTACCTCTCATAGTACTCTGATCCTTCTTCTAAGCCAGGAAGAATACCAGTTAACAATCCTTGAAGACCAGGTTTCAGTGTTTTACCCAAAGGTAAATAATATATCTCATACAAACTGAGCAATGTTGGTTTCACAGACATGGCAGCATTTGCAAGAAGAGGAAATAATCCAGAACTGTGTATAAAAATAAAAATGAAAGAGGGGAGAGAATCAAAACAGTGACAAAATTTTACTTCATATGCAATTGTAAGTGTATATAAATCTTTAATTTTTGATGAAATAGTAAGTTACGCCAATTGCCTTAAACTGGTATCTATATGTTAATGACTTCTACATTCATTAAAACAAAGTAATTCTCTCAACTGAGTTTCATAAACCCAGCAGCTACCTACCTATTTCATGTAGTCCTCATATTTCACAATTCCTCTTTTCTCTTCAACCTTGTTCTTTCCCCTGTAATTGCTATTTCAAAATATGGCATTACCATGTAACTGGCTAGCTAAAAGCTACAAATCTATAAGTCATTCTTGACCCTTTAAAAAAATCTCCTGCAACCTTCAATCAATCACCAAGTTTTCTCTCCAAGTCACTCTTCTAAATATTTTTGAATGTCATAAATTCTGCTCATTTCTACCAGATATTTACCTAGAAAAGACAACCATCATTATCTTTTTTTTTGGGGGGGGGTGCTAGGGATTGAACTTAGGGACTCACGCATGCTAGGCAAGCACTCTGCCACTTGAGACATGCCCACAGCCCACCATTACCTTAACAGGTAATGCTTAACAGGTACTGCTTCATAACTGCTCTGAAGTATCTTCTCTCAGCTCATTGGTTTCCTATTTCCAATATGGCTTTTAACATCTTTTAAGATTTAGGTACTTGATACCTGTATGTAGCCCATATACATTCACCAATTTTTATTCTTACACCTTCTACTCCAGCTATACCAAAGGAATCCCTGTAAGTTCCCTTCAGAGTCTTCCATGCTCTTTTTAGTTCCCAGGCCTTTGCACATGCTGCTTGTACAGATACAATTTTCTAGCCTCTTTGTATGTCTAGGTGATTCCTAAACTTTCAGGACTCAGCCTATGTCATTTCCTTGAAGAGAATGTCCCCTAATTTGACTAGGTTAGGCTCCCTATTTGACATTTCTATAGTACTCAATACTGTCTTATTAGAATAGTTATCATTTTACTTAAGTTCTTTAATGTCTATTTGCTCCAACAGACTGTGAATAATAGAAACCATGTCTGTCTTTTTATTTCTGTATTCAAATCCCTAGCATCATGTGCTGCTCTTAGGAAGTACTTAACAGACTCTTGTTTCTAATTTACATAGAAAACAGAAATTATCTTCAGTTTCCCACTATTCTGCCTCTAATTTTAGGTATAGTATGACCTAAAGACATAGTCAGTCTCTCAACTTTTCGAGGCTCTCTTCTTCCATGTGCTCCAGGGCCCATGTGTTGTCTTTATCCTGCCTCATCCATTTTCCTTTTTCTTTCCTGTAAGGTCTTTTTTCCTCCACTGACATCTTTGCTTTTCAAAACATATCTTTAGGCAAAGTATTTGGCCTTTTTCTTTAATTGAGAGCAATGAAAATGAAAGACAGTCTTTTGTTACCATGTTGGGAGTATTAGGCCTTAGAAATCAAAGTTTACTTCTTACTTTTTGCCCTCCTTCCATCTGCTCATTTTTTTCCCCCAAAACAAGCCATAGAAACCAAAATTTCCCTTCCCAAATGTAGGTCATAAAAATTTATTTTTCCCTGCCTTTGTTTTTTGGCAGTACTGGGGTTTGAACTCAGGGCCTCATGCTTGCTAGGCAGGCATTGTACCATTTGAGCCACTCTGCCAGTTTTCCCTGCCCTTTTGACTTGGACGTAACCATAAAAAAAAATTCTCTGACCTACTTCATTTGATAATGGGGTCAAAAACCCTCCATTTCAGAAAGGTTTCTGTCTCATACCTGGGAGGAAGTAATATTACACAGAGGAGCCAAAAAGCATATACAAAGACAGGCCTTGTGGCTTCCCAACTCAGTCTATTAGCATGTAGCATTAGAGCATACCTTTTTTTTGTCTATTCACATTTCTACACATGGTTGCTCATGCTTCAACCATGCTTATATAATGAAGTGTTCATAAAACCCTCAAAAGACAAGGAGTTCAGAGAGCTTTTGGACAATTAAACAGGTAGAGGCTTATAGGAAATAAATAAGAACTCACATGCCAGGAGGGTGACATACCCCAACATCACAGGGATGGAAGCTTCTGTGCTCAGGACATTCTAGACCTTATCATATGTATCTCTTCATGTGGGTATGAATTTGAACCCCTTAAAATATCCTTCATGAAAAACCAGTGAATATATTTCCAAGTTCAGTGAGCTGCTCTAGCAAATTAATCTAGCCTAAAGAGAGAGTTGTGGAGGCCCCAACTAATAGCCAGTTGATCAAAAGTTCTGGAGGACCAGATTTGCTCCTGGTGTCAGAAGTAGAGGCAATCTTGTGAGACTGAGCCCTCAACCAGCAAGATGTGCTGCTATCTTCAGGTGGATAGGTTAGAACTGAATTAGATTAGATGATGTCCTGCTGATATCCATTGTAGAACTGCCTTCATGCTTGCTGTAGGGAGAAATCCTCACAAATTTTGGGATTATAGATCTATGCTGTCAGTGTACAGTAGGAGAAACAAAGTTTGCATTTGTTTCTCTAACCTAGTACTTAGAAGCCATAACTGACATCATTTGTTTAATGTATTAAAAAGATTATTCTGACACTGTGTAGATAACAAGGTAGAGGAAGGTAAGAACAGGTCAGGCATAGTGGTGCACACCTCTAAGCCCAGCTACTTGGGAGACAGAGATTAAGAGGATCAGTTCAAGGTCAACTTGAGCAAAAAGTTAGTGAGACTGCCATTTCAACAAATGAGCCAGGTGGTAGTGGTACATAGCTATGATCTTAGCTACTGAGAGGATAAGTAGGAGGACTTTGGCTTTAGCCAGAAAGGGCTGGAGGCATGGCTCCAGGGGTAGAGCACTTGCCTGCCAAGAGTAAGGTTCAAACTCCAGTATCGGCAAAAAACAAAACAAAAAATGGTAAGAAAAGGAGGTAGGTGAATGTCAGGAGCCCAGTGACAAAGCCATGGTGAAGGTGCAGAGAAGGAGCTATATTTGAGACATACATCAGAATAATGTCTAATAGTTACTGAGCAGTTACTATAGGCAAGCATATTATTCTGAGTACTTTTTAGGTATTAACTATTAATTCTACTAATAACTCTATGAGGTTAGAAAACATAAGACGACACAGAACTAACTGAATCCCAAGAAACTGTGTATGTTGAATTTAGGAGGAAAGGCTTATAAAGGAGATTGAGGGAGTAACTCAAGAAAGTGTGATTTTGTGGACCAGATAAAGAATAGTGAACAGTGTTGAAAATTATTGAGAAATCAGGGTATTTTCTTTTTCTCAGGCTACTATTCAAGCTTAAAAAGGCAGTCTCAACAATTTTGAAAGAAAAGTTTTATAAATGATATTTATCTAAGAGTAAAAAAACAAAAACCTTAAGGAATGTCCTTTTTCTGAATTATCTTAACTCAAATATTTTAGATTGATATCAAAAGATTTTAGTAATTAAGGAGCTTTAAATTTTTTAGTTTTGGGTTGTTTTTTCAAGATAGCAGGTAGCTAAGGGACCCAGACACCCTGAGTTCTACAATCTCAGAAAAACACTTCAGATTCGTGGCAGCAAGGATTGGGTAAACCCTGATTTTTTTGCCAACACAGATACCACCAATATATAGGATGCACATAATGTTTAACAACTGACCCTTAAAATAGCTTTTTATAGCACATAACAACCAGGGAAGTCTTGGTGCAGGCTGGGACCAGCACAGTTGCCTGTTCACCAACTAGAAAGTTGTTTTTCCCTTTTGTTTCCCTCATTTCCTTTCTTCTGTTTTCAAAAGCAAAAATGCAATGCAGAGAACTGCAGAATAAGTTCTGAAAGTATCTGGGAGGTCCTGGATCTGCTAGAGTACATGGACATAGAACCTTGGACTCCTGCATGCCTGTGCTGTGCTGTGCTGGAGCTGATCCAATTCCACCTGAGTGAATCTGCAACCCTGCCAGGTGAGTGTGAGCCATTGTCTGCTCTCCAGGGAACCACTTAGTCCAGTGCAGCTGGTGGGCAGATTGCACCCTCCGAAGCACCCTATGTGGGGGCAGGATGGAATGCTAAGCTGACCCAGTGAAGGGGGCGGGGCAACCCAATTGTAGGCTGGTAAAAACAACACCACACTTGACAGCCATGCAGAAAGAGGTACTGAGCTGAAAAGTGATGCATCAAAAAGCTCATTTCTAACTCCTAGGCTTGCCCTATAAGCAGAAGGGACAGGTGACTGCTCAAAAACCAGCTCCTGGTGGGACCACTTGGAAGAAACTGCCTGCATCAGTTGGCCATCCCATCAAGGAAACTCTGGGCTCAAAACACCCTAAGTCAATCCCCCTCAAAGCTGTCTGATGGGGAGGGGCAACATCCCTTGCAAAGCAGCTCAGCATGCGTCCCTTAAGAAAGGACACAGACACTGAGAAAGCCCCTATCAAAAGGTCGCACCAAGATTTGAAATCAGAGGAAAGAGTCAAGAACTTTTATTGAACGGATTTTTTACGTTTAGTATTTTTACTTTTATTTTTTCAGTTTTTTTTTTCAATTTGTTACCTATCTCCCTCTTCCATTCTGTCCAAATATCAATTTGCTAAGCCCTTTCTTGACCCACTTTCCTTTCTCTCCCCCAACTTTTTCTTCTCTTCTCCTTTCCCTCCTCTCCTCTCACTCCCTTCCCCCTATTGTCCCTACCTCCTCCACACTTACCACTCACTGAATAGTCTATTACACCAAGAATACATTGCCCCCATCCTTCCCATCCCTCTGAAAGCTCTGACAATAGCACCCTCTCCCCACAAGGACTGAACTACCTTTCTACACATTAGGGCCTCATTACCTTGTAGCCCCCATACCTCATACCTTTTTTCCCCTCCTTGCATCTCCCTTTCCTGGCCCCTGTTCTAGCACCATTTTTTAGTTGCCTTAGTATCTATCTCTATCCAAACAACTGTTACCTCCTCAATACTGACTGCTGATATACAATATCACCAAGGGGGTTTCTT